TTGTTTTTTTGCTTCTTTTATATTTCTTGTCCTAAAATTAATTTAAATAGTAGTTTAACCTGCCTAAACTGTAGAAGGTTTTATCATTGATCTGGATCTGTATAGTTGCAACATTTTGTTTGGCTAATAAAAGCTTTGAGGAATAAGTGTAGCAGAGAGGGTAAAAAGAAATACAAAATTCTAGTTTTACTAGTTTTTTTTTTCCCTTTCAACTTTTTTGTGCAATTTGATTATTGAAATTTTCATTGAATGTAACTGTTGTAATGGATTATAAATCAACAACAACAACAGATTTTTTTTTTTTATTTATTGATAACTAAATTGTAACAGTTAGTTGGATTAAGATATTGCTTGTTGCAAAGAAAACTTTTTGCTGCCCAAATGTTTAACTTTTTGGTTTGAAAAAAGAGAAAATGCTGTTTTTTTTTATAATTGTAAAAAAAAGATTTAACAACTCATCTGAGATTGAAGGGGAGAAGAAATGACTTCAATGATACAATTAGTGTTTGCATTTTTTATCCGAACACATACACAGCTTCAATTTTTGCTACCCAAATTGTCGTTATTTTTTAATATAGACAAAAAATTAAATTTTATAATTTTTTAATACTGCTTTTGATATTCAACCTTTTTTTTTTTGCTTCTTTTCTTTCATTGTCATCCATTTCCTCACAAAAGATTCACAGTTTTAATCTTTGAAAAGAGCCTCTAAAAAAAAAAAAATAGACGTCTGTTAAAATTAAGTTTAAGCAGTAACTATTTTTTTTGTTTAAATATTTCTTTTTTTTCCTTCTAAAAGAACTTTATTTTCAACAGTGACGTCATCACAAAGCTTTTTGATTTCTTATAATTTCCGTTAACAGTTTCTCTTTTTTTTTTTCATCTTAAAACAACAATTCTGAATGCCACAATTTTTCTTTTCTTGAGGATCAAACTTCAAAACACTTCTATGACACCAAAATAACTGTAGCATCTTCTTTACTCAATTTTTTCTTCCTTTTTTCTTTTTTTTTCTTATTTTGTAAAGTATGTTAAAAATATTTGTCATAAGCTTAAAACTTTAAGGCTGTTAAAATGTTCCAAAAATAAACTGACGCTTTGTCAATGTACAGTCTCTTTTTTTTTCTTGTTTTTCTTGTTTTTTTTTCTGCCAACAAATAATTAACTCATTATTTAAACTTGTTTTTCATTCATTTATTTTTGCTTGATGTTGGTATCCTAAAATGTAACAGGGTACGGTTTTTTTTTTGTTAAAGAGAAGAAGAAACGCTAAAATCAGACTGTTCTTTTTTTTTCTTCTTTATAATATAACACATTTAAAAGTTTACAACAATAATATCAAAAAAATCAGGCAAAAAAAAAAAATTAGTGTTGGAGTAAAATTTCATTAGTAAAAATTGACAGAAAAAAGAAGATGTACTTCTAAGATGTCCATTCTTTTAAAAGCTTCTTCTTCTTTATGTCACATTAGTAGTTGGTTTTTTTTTTTTTAAGCTGTTTTTCTATTTCAGTCACAAAATATTCTCTTTTATATCCTTATAGGATCAGTCAAAACCATATGATTCCAAAAAAAATGTTTGGATTCCGGACAAAGAAGAAGGCTATGTCGCTGCAGATATTAAGTCAACTAAAGGAGACATCGTTACCGTTGTTGTCAACGGACAAGAGGTTAGACCGGGCTAACTGAACTTATAAAAATCTGATGTACCCCACTAATGCTTCTCAGTAAACCAGTTTAGTTAATTGTACTCTAAAATTTTTTTTAAAGACTAACAGACCCATCATTATCATTGTCATTACTACAAATATTTGGATACTTTTAGATAACTTTTTTTTTCTTCTCTCTATAAATAATTTACCTGGCAATCCTTTTTTCCTCTCTTAAAATCATTTACAGTGAAAGAAAAGCATTAGCTTAATTACAAGAATTTTTTTTTCAAATGTTTTTCTCACATTTTAAACGCAGAAAAGAAAACTATCTTAGACAAATATTTGTATCCTATTTTTTTCAGTCTTTTTTCACTCCAAAAAAAAAACTGTTTCGGACGCTCATATAATTGGGCATCAGATGATTTAAATAAAATCAATTTTTACATCAAACCTAAAAGACAGACAAAGGTGTATAAAAGTTTATTTTACAGAAGCAAGTCAAGAAGGATTTGGTGCATCAAATGAATCCGCCAAAGCTGGAAAAAACTGAAGACATGTCAAACTTGACATTTTTAAACGATGCCTCCGTGCTTCATAACCTTAGAGCTCGATATTCGGAAATGTTAATTTATGTAAGCTTTATAGAGTTGTAAACAAAAAAAAAAACACATACACATTAACAAACAGATATTATCTAAACTTAAAATTAGAAATTTTGCACAAAAAATCAGTACTTTTTAAATTTTTTTAGACATATTCCGGCTTATTTTGTGTTGTTATCAACCCTTATAAACGACTGCCAATTTATACTGATTCTGTTGCGCAAATGTATATGGGTAAACGTCGAACTGAGATGCCACCTCATCTTTTTGCTGTTTCTGATGAGGCCTACCGTAATATGCTTCAAAATCATGAAAATCAATCTATGCTCATTACCGGTGAATCTGGAGCCGGTAAAACTGAAAACACAAAAAAGGTATACTTTGTTCACATGCATTGTGAAGGCTCCAAGCATTCTGGTTACCAGTAACAGGTTGACACTTCTAGGTAATTGCATATTTCGCATCAGTTGGCGCAAGTCAACAAATTCTTGGTATTAGCATGACACCGAAAACTGATAAGAAAAAGGTCACTCTTGAAGACCAGATTGTTCAAACGAATCCAGTTCTGGAAGCATTCGGAAATGCTCGTACTGTACGAAATAATAACTCTTCAAGATTTGGCAAATTCATCCGTATCATGTTCTCAAAACATGGAAAAGTTGCATCCTGTGACATTGAGCACTGTTAGTTATTTGTTGATGTTCCAGTTAAGCTTTTTTTGTAACAAAAAACAGGAATTATTTTTTTT